CACCCCACACACCACACACACACACACACATGCTGTGCACACACACAAGCACACACATGCAAAAATATGACCACATACATAAACACACACACAGAAACACACACAGATACATAAATACACACACCACACATGTAAACACACACCAAATACATAAGCACACACGCAAACATCCATACACACCACTGGGGCTTAATTTAGTTAAAATACTACTAAAATGACAACCCCACTGTATCTGACTACTCAAAAACCTATACAAAGTCTTTTTAACCAAATAACCAGATTTCAAGAGAAATTGAGTGTGTGTGTGTGTGTGTGTGTGTGTGTGTGTGTGTATGTATGTAACAATCTGACTCCAAGATAAAGATCAGTATACTAGATATAAGTCAGTTTCCACTCTGGCTGCAATGTCATGATCCTCTCCTCCACACCAAGTATTAGGGCTCTGGGGTCCAGACTCAGGCTCTGGAACAGCCAGCCACCTCTTCCCTTTGATGCTCTGACCCATGATAACAGACCAGACACCCCCACTAACTAGTGACCCTGAGGCTCTGCTGCCTCCACTTGAGGTCCTGGTTGGTTCTTCTGGGTCGGGGACACAGTGCAGGGAGCAACAGCCTGTGCTCAACAGTCTTGGGTCCAAATGTTTGGGATGGGGCCAGGGTGCAAAGGGAGCAGAAGGCCAGGGAAATAAGAGCACCTGGGAGTCAGACATAGGGCTCCTGGAACCACGGGTGAGGTCTCTGCCTTTAGGTAAAGATGTCTTAAGAGCATTAGCACGTACAATCCCACGTAACAGTTTTTAAACCACACTAGTATGACTGAAGGATGTCAAGACTGTTTCTAGGTGCTGCAGAGTACAAATAGAAAGAGACTCACAATTTAAATGAGTTAAGAGAATTCACAAAGATCGTCCAAACCCTTCCACAGAATGAGAAGGAAATGGAGACAGGGGCACTTGCCCAAGTTGGGAGTGACAGAGATGGCACTAGACACTGTTCTCCTGATTTCTAGTCCATTTCTCTCTCAACTCCACCGTGGATAAAGGAAAATTTTAAATTCATGTGCCTATATAAGACAGACTAAAAATAATGGTTACATAATTAGAATTGCTTTCCATCTACAGCTAATTAATAGCAATCTCAGGCATATTATTAATACCTGTCACATCACTTAAATTTTTTGCAAGTAAAGCAACTCTAATCCCAGGCCAGCTTCTTAAGCTGTAGAACACGGTACAAAATGAAAATGCCCCTGGACTACCTGCTCTCCTCTCGAAAGAGAGGCCACTCCTTGGCTTACAGAAACCTGCCTCTCTCTGTTCCTCACTGTTCCTCGAATGTTCCTCCAGCAACATAATGCATATGACAGTGTCCAGATTTCCTCCTCTTAGAAGGTCAGGATCACAATGGATTAGGCTTCACCTTCATGACTGCATTTTAATTTAATKATCTTTTTAAGGACTCTATCTTTAAATATAGTCATATTCTAAGGTTCTGGGGGTTAAGACTTTAACGTATGAATTTTGGGGAGGCACAGTTCAGCTCCTAAGAGTCATTATTCCTCAAATCCTGTAAATTCCACAGAAGTGAGCTCAGGAAAAATGACTCCCAAAGAATCTATGCCTCCTTTTAAAAGGCTTCCTACAGGAGAGCCATCCTCAACCCTCCTGGTGTGTCAGGTTCCTCTGTWTACACCCACAGCATGTCACAATGTTCATAGATATGATTTTTATAATTTTAAAGTTCTTTTTCCAGTAGACAGCAAGTTCATGAGGGTAAGTTCCAACTTGACATATTTAAAGCTATGTCCCTTGGTTTCTGGCCCATAGAAAGCACCAAGTTAACATTTCTTGAAGGAAGGGAAGGTCAATCTACCATACACAAACCAATGTAAACAAAATTCTAGAACCTTCTAATCTTGGCCCTATTGGCCCAGAAACTACCCTAGGGATCCACTTCTCTGATTTTGCAAGAGAAGATTAAAGGATAAGGTACATTGATAATTTCCTCAAATATTTGATTTTAGATCTAACAAGTAAACTTTCTTCCCCATAAAGAAACAATTTTATGGTTATTTATGAGATTTCCAGCTGCTGCACAGGAATGGGATGTGTGGGGGTGGAAATATTTTCCAAATACTGACATAAATCAAGCTGTGTGACAAATACACAAACATTAATTGCTACCACAAGAACACACTCTCCTTGCCTCCAAGACCCAAAGTGATCTTGCAGCGCTTAGTCCCATGTCCAGGTAAGAACAGTGTCCACTCACATTTGTAGCATCCCGTTGCAAACACAAGTAAATCACTCATTCAATCAACAACATTAACCTGGACTTCATACTTAGAATATGAAGATGAGTCTAATAGCATTATGTTAAAATCTTTAAAAAAAAGAAATTGAGTCATATTAATAAGGGTCATACTGTGAAATTCCTGGAAACTTTCTATGTATCAAATAAAAATAAGGGAAGTGTCAGATTTGGGGATAAAATAATTGAGATATCTTCTTTCTTGAAGTGTACTTCAAAGTAAGAATGCTTTACAAATGGTAAAGATGATTTTTTTAAATATAATCACAGTGATTCACACAACATCAATTGATCTAAGCATAAAGTGTACTTTAATGTTGGCCAATGACATAACTGCTGTCAGTCAGTTCCATCATCTCTGCAGGGTAACATGACAAAGGACGGTGCAATTTTCTGGAACAGCAAGACCATGTACAATTCACTCTACCAAGATTTTCAAATTCCAAATGCCACGTATTGTTTCAYAAGCATGGTGGAGATTCTTGACTATCTAGCTATCATTTAAGCATTATTCTCTTAGGAAGAAGGATGGTCCCAAACAACTCACACTTCCTCAATATATGGAAAAGACACATTTCTTTTTCCTTTCACTCAGTGCTGGACTAGAAGCCAGTGTACACTAGCTTTATCTTCTTGGCTACCACTCCCGCCGTCAGTGTCCTGTCAGTGAGTCACTGAGTTCCTAGTTCCTKCTTTGCACCTAACACTATGCTGTACAATGTTGGGTTGGAGGGAGCCYCTACTCAGCAGGCTTGTGATGAGGCTGGAGAAACAAGACTTATATTCAAGGAATAAGAAAAGAAGAAATGTAAGGCAGTAAAAAACCTGAGCTCCCATGGAATCCTGGCTTGCTCTGACACAAACTAACTTGATTCCATTGAAAATTCACTGCCTTCCCTAAGTGACAACCACTTCTTTGGTGGAGGAAGACGCCACTAGGTGTTCTGAAAGGTCCTTCCAGCACAGCAGATCAACTCTGACACTGGTTCTGGGAAAGGAGAAGAGAGTGTCTTCCAGGAAATGTGTAGAAAAATGCAGAACAAATAGCTCATTGGCAGGTTGGATGAGCCACCGAAAGTTCTGTAGAAGTGCAAAGTCATAAGACTGGCCTAGAAAGCACAATAAGAACTAGTACGACAAGCACAGTAATTGTGGTGTTCTGTGTGAGCTCATAGGGACTGTGGCATTTATGAACCCCACTCTTTCTGTATTCATCCCTTTTTTTTAATGACTAAATATTAGCTAGCCCTAATCCATTTCTAATCACCTTACCTCAACAGGACAGTTACAGGAGAGAGCCGTGTTTAAGGAGGATGGATGAGGAATTAACGMAATTCACAGAGCAACTGTGTAGTCAAATTCTCCCCCAGCCTTAGTAACAGTCACATTGGCAACCTACACCTGAGATGTCCTCTAAAAGRTATCGAATCACATGCACAACATGCTCTCCATCACCCCAACGTGTAATATGAATTGGGCAACAATCCAGGTGACAGTGGCAGTGACAGAGAGTCCTAAAATTCCCACGGAGATTATTATCTGTATTGGTTCCTTTGGCAATGAGGTCAGCAGGTGATGAATCTCTTCTTCAAGCACTTGCTAGATGATTTGTACAAGAAATCCTTTAATTTAAAAGGTAGTTTTCATCACTTGCTAATGAATGACAACTGTGTGATTAGGTGCCCAGAAAACACTACAGACATTAGAGGCTCAAGTTTCTTATTGCGTACACACACTGCTAAGGTTATAGAAGAATTCCCAGAAAAGTTGCTATCAAGTGTAGGGAAAGTGGGTGATGTTGGTCTGTAGAGCAGTCACTTGTCCCCTTGTCCATCCCTTCTCCTGTTTGCAATGTCATCCTGGCTCCCTCACTCCTCTATCATCTCCCTGTTTTCCCTTTGAAGTCCGTGTTCCAAATTGTTAAGAAATAAAGGGATGTTACTTTATTTCTCTTGTTAACTGTCATTCTGGCATTGTTTACTTTCCCTTCTGAAGAAAGGAAATATGGAATATTTAAAGAAATGTCTCAATTTCCCATAGCCCTTTATTCATAGCTTACTATTTCTTGCACATTAAAGAGAATGTGGGTTTGCAAGGAAATAACTTGGGTCAGTTTATCTCTGAAAGCTCCGTTAACTACTTAGGACAAGACAGAGAAGGGCAGAACAGATCATATCCAGGGCACAAGGGCAGGGGACAGAGCTCAGCAAACACAGAGCAGAACACAACACAACACAGACAGAAGCAGCTCTRCAGAATTCATTATCTAATAATGTGTTGACATGTTTTTCATTGTCCCTCCATTCATCATTCTGAGTATCATCAAACATTTAAATCTGCTTTCCACATGCAGGTGTGATGAGCTGTCTGGTAATATTACCCACTAATGTATTTAATGATGTTAACATTGATTATGGAGTCTTTAAGCTAGATTTCCTCTAAATGTTCAGAAAAGTTGTATTTTTAAAACCAATCTACTATTATGAATGTCTTACATGAGTCTCACCAACTAATGGAAAAAGGATATAGAAGCGCCTTTTTCCTGCTTCCCATTAACAATATAAAGAAACTTGAGCATAGAGAAATGAAATAATTTATACAAGGCTCATACTTTCTGGCAGCAGAATAGAGAGCAGTCAATCAAAAGAGCCAACTCTTCAACCTGTGAAGATGTTTAAGTCACAATACCCTTTAATCCGCAGGCTGCCTCCTTTGTCTCTTGAACTCTCTGCCTCCGGTAAACGATGTGTGGGTGGGCACCCTCAGCCACTGGATGCTTTTTAACAGGCTCAATGAAAAAGTCTCCATGTGGTAGATGGAAAAATCCAGTCTGAAAATATATTCAATAAGAAGATTTAATTGAGACAATTCTAGGCAAAGAAAATTAGTATATTAGGACAGGAAGAACAGGCAAGGCCCACAGTGGTATCAAATAATTCCAATAAAATAGCTGAAAACAGACTGCTGCGGTGCTGAGATTCKGTTCCATTTTGACCGTGAATCAGAGGCCAGGCACAGGAGGAGAATGTGGGCCTGTCACTAATGAGGCTCATTTGTTCCATGGAAACAAAGTGGAAGTCCAGGACTCCTCAGAGATGGCTGGACCTGGGGTCCCTTTTTGTAATGTTATCAACCCAATACTGATGTCTTTGAAGAAAAAATCAACAACAAAACCATCAAGAAAAAGGGCTAATTGGGATTTCTTTAGACTTGAATTTGGGACCCTGGTTGTGCAAAAGAAACAGATGGGACTTCATTTGAGGAAAGAGTTAACGATTTTGTGGATCATATGAAGGAGAATTCCTGAGAGCCAAATATTTTCCTGCAAATGGCTCCCGTCCATCTACACTCCTTCACAGGCTAAGCCTGTGTACACAGGAATCTCTTCAGCCTCAATGTTTCTCAGAAGCTGAATGAGACCTGGGAGAGCTAGCGACCCACCAGTACAGGGCATGCAGGAGACCTGCTCATGTGTAAGTGGGGCTGCTGACCCAGGCCCCSACATGTGCTGAGGAGAAGGGAACCGCAGGAAAAGACACTGCTGTTGGGGGAAGAGTGTGTGTGTGTGTGGGGGGGGGGGCATTTCCCAGCACAGCTCTGCACCTCCTCCCTCTTCTAACACATAAAGAGTTCTGTACATCTGGTGCCCAGGTGGCCCTGGTTTATTGGTCTCTTCTCGGCATTCAGGAGCCAGGTCATGCTGGAAGAAATCATCTGTGTTTTGATTACAAAGAAAGGCCTGGCTCCACACTTTCCCTGAAGCACACGGCCCAAGAAAATCACCTTCCTCTGTTACCAGGCCTGGCTCTGAGTAAAAGGAGGCACTTCCCAGCCCAGTTTTTSATGCAATCTGTTCACTTCTCATATACCCTCAAAGAAAAGTGAAATTGAGAAAGTATGAATTCACTGAGGACTTGTACTCTGTATTCAGAAGAACCAGGCAGAATGAGATCACCTCCTTTATTGTCTACTCTTCTCCCTTCCGGTATCCACTAGTCTTAACAAACTGCTAACTCTCTTTTGGAAATAAAGCCACCTACCTGTTTAAATAAGTTATAAATATCTGTGAATGCTTTCTAAGGCAAGCCTCTAAAAGCTGCTTTAAAGAAATTTTATTTTGTATCATATTGAGAGATATATAAATCATAACTGTAAATACCCATAAGTCTTTCGTGAAGGGAACATGAATGTGAAGAAATGGTATATTACACGAGGTRCCATGGTGCACACATGTGATCCCAGCAACTCAGGAGGTTGAAGCAGGATGATTGCAAGTTTGAGACCAGCCTAAGCAACTTAGTAAGACCATGTCTCAAAACTGAAAAAAAAAAAGAACTGAGAGTGTAGCTCAGTACCCCTGAGTTCAACCCCCTGTCCCCCTGTCAAAAAAGAAAAAGAAATGGAATATCACCAGTAACGAACTGACTCCATGTTCTTCATCCCAATTAAAAATATTCCCCAAGATTAACTATTACCCTGATTTCTAATATTAATATATTAGTTTTAAGCCTCTGCTTATTTTTTTATTTGATGCAAAAGAAAAAAGTCTACTAATTCATTTCAAGTGTGAAGGGCTAGCCAACGGAAAGGATCTTGTTATGGTGCGTAGCTTTCTCAAGGCCTATTAAATCACTCTTGAAATTGCTTCAGTAGATAAATGGCAAACCCAGGGGGTAAGACAGTGCAGAGGTGCCCTGGTGCATGTCAGTTGGCATGTGATCACCACTGCTCTCTCCTAAGGAAGAGTGAGGAGGGACTGTCACATATTCCTCAGGACACTCTCAAGACTGAGAATAAATGCCCACAACCCCTCTTCCCTCCCTTCAACTTGGATCAAAGTGTTAGTCATCTTAATTTCTCTGACATTAAAMTTCAGTTAGTAACAGTGATTTGGGGCTCAGGGAGAGACTAGCAATGTCTTAGAAGAAATTACTGAATAGGATGCTTTAAASTCACAGAGCCTAGAAAAAGGTGACCTAACCCATGCTGCTGTGCCTTCAGGAGTACCACAAGTAAAACCTAGCAGGCTGAAGGTTAAGAACTAGTGCTATTATAGAACTAGCGGTATATATATGTGAACGGCACCCCTTGGAGTTGCACAGTGGAATTATGTTGCCCAAACTCATCACTCTATCCAAGAAAGGAATTCCTTTTTATTTGAAAATATCATAAGTTACCACATCAAATTTTTTTGACTCCCATAGAGATAAGAATGTGATCGACATTCTGATAATCAAGAACTGAAATGAAAAAAAAGGGGGGGSATTGGGATAAGAAAGTACCTAAATTACCTGATTATGGTATATGGAGCACTAGAAAGGTAACACTTGCCCCCCATTATACAGACAGGAAAGGGAATACAAGAGCATACCCCAAACCCTGCTTCTGGAGTATCAGTCTGCATTATTMCATGGCCAGCCTGTGCCAACAGCTCTGATCCCTACCCTCAAGATTCATAGCCTGGCCAGGAAGATAGGCCAATGTTCTTGAAGACAGTGGGAAGGGAATAGCAAAGCTCTAGCATTTTCCAGTTGAAAAGGGTTCAATGTTCTTAGCCCACAGACCAGCCCACTGCCACTGGCAGTGCTGGACCTAGATCTCAGACCTGGAGCCCTGTATGCAGAGCTCTACCCACCTTACAGGGCACCCACAGGACAACCCTTGCCTYGGTGCTATGGACTCCAGTGCTGTGGCTCTCAGGAGGTGGAAGCCAGTGGAAAAGACTAGTTTCAGAGAGCAAAGAAGATTGAATTTCTATAGTCTCCAAAACATTTGGCTCAGTTCTAAAGCCATGCAAGCCTTCCAGAATGATTAACTTTCTTTTTGCTGGTTTGTACGATGCAAACAACTTTTCCTCATTCAATAAGTATCCAGGACCACAAGCCAGTTAAAAATAGAAGTCTCTGGATTACACATACCTTGGAAGATGGAGAGGTGGTGGAGGTAGTGATGTCATCACTGGAAAGATTCCTCTAGCGTGCTCCACTGCCTACTGTGATGCCAAGAGCTCCCTCCTGGCCTCCATGGAGCCCAAGAGGARAGTGACTGGTAATGCCACTGAGCTCAGGACGTACTGCCTGTGAATCTTGGCAGCCCTAGTGACACATGTAGTTTGAAGARATATGGGCTGAAGTCAGAAAGGTTCTCTCCATTGTACCCATTTGGCAGTTACCATGAGCCAAGCAGGTATTAGAGATATGGCAATATAGAAGATGGTCCCTGTGTACGGGAATGGTACTGTTGACAGCACTCACTGTAATGGTAAAGATGTTCTGTCTGCACTGTCTGGTTCAGTGGCTGCCAGCCCCATGTGACTATTGAGCACTTGAGATGTGGTTAGTGCAACAGAGGAACTGAATTTTTTATTTCATTTAACTTTATTTTCTTAAATTTAAATAGCTGCAGGCAGTTAGATTTCTTATTTCTAGAACCTGGCTGACTAGGGATGGGGAAAGATCTATAAGCACATTCAAAGTATAGTGATGAGTGTTGTAAACAAAGAAAGATTTGAGCACTTGCCTTTAAAAAAGAAATAACAGCGAAAATGTGACTATAACAATTTGATTTTCATGAGCAATCAGAAACCAGAGTGGGRACACCAATGCTCCGTAGGCAGACTTCAGAGAATTCATAGAAGCAACTATATATATATAAATGCAGCATTTGCCAAAATTAAAAAGAGTGTCCAGAAATAAACCTACCAGTGCAAAGACTGTGTGAGGAGGCTGCCACTGTCCTGAAGCCTGAAAAGGAGGCACAAATGTCCCAGCAGAAGAGTGGAACTGGGGTTGTGGCCACAAAGAAATGGATACTAAGCTCGACTTCTCCAGGGAGCTGTCCCTGAGAGGCCTGGAGCGTTAACCTACATGCCCTCACATCTCTCAGCTGCTCTTCAGAGAAGCCTGATGCAACCCTGCTACACAAGACCACTCCCAATGCACTGGCTGCAGGTCCTACTGAGTTCAGAGTCTGAAACTGTAAGGGAAAATATTTTTGAAAAAAATGGACAAAATGGGTTCCAAAGGATATGAAATCAAGTTATCACAGGGTTTATTAGAAACAGCATGAGCTGTGTGATCTTGGTCACACTACTTAACACAGGAGCCCACCCAGTTTTCTGACCTATAAAATGGGGCAAAACCTATGGTAACTTGTGACTTTCAGAGACACTATATGTCAAATCCCTACCAGAGGCCTCGGTATATGATAGGTACCCAATAAATGTGTGATAGTCCATTTGATCACAGCATCACCCATAAGAAACAAGTATAAAATGGTGTTTGAAAGYAAGTACTCCAGGTCCAGTTGCTCCGTTTGTCTCTTAGCTGCAAGTGACTTAACTTCTTGGGCCTCAGTTTCCTCATCTGGTAAATACAGTAGTTACAATAATTTATTAGAGATTTCATGTGGATTAAGTCAGTTTGTACAAAGTGCTGGATGAGTGTCAGCACCTAGTGCCTAGTAAGCATTAGCTATTAGCTATTATGACAGTCAAAGGGACTTTCTCCAGATTGTGGGCCTGAAGTTAAGGGCTTCTGCGAAAACTCACAGAGGCCCTTTTAAAAGCTACCACCTGCCGCACTGATAAACCTTATTCTTTGCTTCCACAGACCGAGAGGTGCTRCCCTCCAGCCACAAGGGAGGGATGTCAAGGAGTGGTAGTGACCATGAGCCATCTCTGGGCTAGAAGATGGAGCCCATATCTCAACAGCTGGCCTCTCCATATGAGTGGAWGCATTGCTCCCTCAGTGGAAATCTGAAGGGAAGTTGAAGTCAGGCAGGTGATGGAATCAGCTGTTCTCAGAGCAAGAGTGATGATGTGTTTGCCTG